ATACAATCATTTTGCTGCTGCAGCATTTTGTCATATTTAAAATATAAATCTAATCTATAATCTGTTTACAGATTATATATACAGTGTGTGCGGTTTTTTGAATATCATAATTATAATATTATAATATTCCATATTTATGTGGCAGGGAAAAGCCCTGTAGCTCTTCACGACCTCCTTCCCGGCTCGTAACCGGCACGCACTGCCGTCAAGGGCGAGCATTGGTTAATGGACATCATGTGACTGATGCAAGCCTTTTATTTAGCAAAATTGTGAATAATAGTTAAATGTTTTTGTTGAGGGGCACAGGCAGGACTCCACACGCACACACATAGAAGAAAAAATGCCTCAAGAAAAGGGCACTTGGGGCACCCAACGTGCTCAAGCCCCCTCCACCCCCTCTGCACGTGCCTGGCGTGAACACTAAACTGATCATCACGTCTTGTCTTGTCAGGAAGCTGGTAAGGAGTGTGTTGTGGGAGCGGAGCTTTGCTGTAAATATCGAGTGTTGGATTTCCACCTTTCACACCACGGACCACAGAAGGAGTCACACTTTTGAAAACTCTTCAGACTCTCTGTTCATTATTCAGTGTAAATAAACTGACTGTCGCTCACCGGAACTACCTGGTTGGATTTTATAAGACTTAAATTTATGGTTGTGCCCTCTTTGTTCCAGGCGCTGGATACATAAATCATAGTACAAAACACAGGAAGATGCAAAACACTGGGTCAAATGACCCAGGACCATGACACGCTCAGCCTTTCTCGTCCTTTTTAAAGGAATGAAAATGTACAAGTCCAACCTTAGTGATGTAAAGAGTGTGAGCAGCAGCCAGATGCTGTCTATCAAATGCACTAGATTATCTGATCATCAGTAAGTGATGAGGTCCTGGCAGTTTGGAGATCTGGAGAACCAAGAAGGAAAGACATCAGAAAGTGCTGCTGCTCATCCATCTCAGAGGTCATTTCAGAACAAGTCCATCATTCTATAGCAAGAACTCCCCAACGAATTCACCCCAAGGTCAGACTACGCAATACTCAAGTAAACAGCAAAAAACAAAGCACAAAACTTCTGGAACAGACGAGACCAAAGTGGAGATGTTTGTCTATGATACACAGCAGAACGTTTGGAGGAAAGGCCTCAGAGCAGCTGTCAGCACAGTGGAGGAGGAGTGATGATTTGGGCTCTGTGTGCTCACTGAGTGGTCAGTGAACTCCTCCAAACCGAACCACCTTAGAACGATTTACAGTCTCTGCAGCTCCTGCACATCATTTACGCTTTTACGTCACGTACCAAGACAAAAAGTTACTGGTTCATGGAGGCTATAAAATACTAAGACTGACGTTTGACTGAGAAAAACATGTTATGCATTCACGTGTGCGGACAGCCAGTCACTGTGTTCTCAATCAATAGCCGACAAACAAACAGAACTTCAAACCAAACACACTTAATGCTCGACAGCTACAGTGAGCACTCTGACTGGCTGACAGTGAAGAGGTGGAAACTACTCTTTATGCAACGGCCCATCAGTCAAGCATCATGCAGTCATTTCAAAATAATGTCAATGAAAAGGAGACTCTCCTCTAGCTTTCAGGTCTGAGAGGTGAAGCCAGCGTTCTGCCCACTGACCAGCAGGGAGTGACTCCTGTTTACAAAAAAGCAACAGCCTCTGCCCCATCTTTAATCTGCTGCTGTGCTGTGGATGGTTTTGTCCTTTCACAGAGGGTGGATTGTTTTTGTGGTGGTGATCTCCTCCATATGGAGCTATGGGCATCTGAGTGGCGTCTGACAGAAGCAGCTGTAGCAAACGAGTTTTATTGAGGGGACCATGACGTTAATTTGTAAATAAGATTTTTCTGTGGCATCTGAATGAGAAGGAAAGCTAACATGACAGTGGCAGAAGCACTCAGCAGGAGGTTTCATAGCAGGACTTCACTAACCAATGAAAGCTACAGTGGCTGCCTTTTATTTTCAGTTCAATTCAAATCAGTTTTATTTGTATAGCAACAAATGACAAGAACAGTTTACTCAAGGTGTTTTATACTGTGAGGTAAACACAATTTACAAATAATAGAATACTTTAAAGTCTCAGCAGGAAGACTGAAGAATGCCTTTTCAATGTTATTGTGTGACTTCTGTTTCTCTTGTTTTTGTTTCATGCTTTTGGGGAGATCCTGCAAAATCCTGCCTCCTAATCTGAACGAACTCGATGTGTTAGTAAAAAAAAGGTTTGCAAAGTTGACAAGTTCTTCAAATGTCCTGCCTCAAAATGCTAAAAAACTAAAACTGTGTTTATTGGCACAAACAGCCAGAAAAAAAACTGTTTTCCCTGTTTAATTTCTATCTATGTGAGGAAATGTGTCTTATTAGAAATACAAGAGCCAGATAAATCTATACTTGTAAACATTTATAAAACCCTGTTTCTTGTTAATCCCTTTAACTCACAGATAACCATAAAAAATATTGTTTGAGCAAATAAGAGAAAGAGTTACTAACCAGATATTTTGGCTTCTTGTGTCACCTTGCAAAGTTTCGTGTGGCTGTCGATCAACAGAAGGCCAAGAAGAATAGCCGAGACCATAATCCTTATTTAAATAAAGAAGAATTACTAAATTCATTTTCAGCAGGGATGCACCAGCATCTGGTGATATCAGCCAATAGACTGATGTGAGTGCTTCATATGAGTCGCTTTATTTTAACATCAGCAAAAGCTCAGAAAGTTAAAAGATGATTAAAGAAGCAACAACAACAATGAAAGAAAGGACTTAAGGTCTTATGGGAAAGCTCAGAAATGACCGTCTCTGGGACTTACATCAGACACACGCAGCAAAATGAAAATAAAACAGGACGCACTGACAGTAGCTGAAATCATCATCATCGTAATAACTCCGCTTTGTTTGTAATGGCGAATAACGGTTACTGTCACCTCGATGTGATTTAGATTGTGTTGTAGGTGGTAACAGGTCACATGCTGATCTCTGTGGCAGATATATTGGATTATAGAAGGTGGCAGCATGAGGCGTGAATGTTTTCTGTCTCTGTGTTTGAGGCAGCAAAACTGAACCGGTCTGTTTGAAAAGGAGCTCTGCTGCCTGTCCAGTATGTCCAGTATGTCCAGTATCCGTCATGGAACAACACTGTCACGTCCTCTCCACCACAGGGTGGAGGGTACCAGCTCTCATCATTTTGGTGCACACACTGAAGGATCTTAACTTCCTTAGGAAGTAGAGCCTACTCATCCCCTTCCTGTGCTTCTCCACATCACTGATGTCAGTAAACTCTGTGTCTGTGTTGGCCTTCATCTCCATACAGAAAACACAAGGAAGAAAGAAGCACGTCTGACATCTGCAACCTGTTAGCTTTGCAGGTTCTGATTTTACAGGTTAAAAAGCCTCTGGGGGCGGCGTTTAGCTGCACACAAACTGTGGTTAAACCACATCACAGGGTCCGAGTTCATCACGTGACGTACATCTCATCTTCCTTTGTATCCTGTCCTGCAAAGACCTGTATTCAAGCACAAACGAATAAAAAAATCACATTGCAAAAGATAGTTACTGACAATTTCTGAATGGCGTTTAATTATATTTCACAAAAATGCAAAATAAAGCAAGTCCGTGATCATTTCAGGCTTTCATCGTTAATGGTTTTTGAGATATACGAGCACAAATGTGCAAAAGGAGACGACTCAAAAACCACAGAAGAAAGTAGCAGTTCCAGGTAACACTGCACTAGCTGTTTGCTCTGTTTATCTTTTTATCCTGGCTCCATCATTCAAGGCCAGGATGAGTTAAGCTAGTTAACAACGTCCTCATTTTACCCCCACCATGACGCTGCGCTTATTTACTGTTCCCTCTAATAGACCTGTGTAAATACGCATCTGCAAACAGAGTGGGTGGGACGATGGTTGACCTCGGTGCTGACCCGTGACTTGTAGATGTCCTGCAGAGGAAAAGTATACACGACTACCAGTGATTGGTCCTTGGAGTACGGAGAGGAAAACCAACTAGAAGCAGTGCTGGCAGTGACGCCAGGCGATATAACCAAAAGCACTACAGCACAGCTCAGCAGTAATACTGTTAAAGCCACACGACACCACCAACCAGCAAATATTCATCTGTTTTAGTCGCTCTGTCATCATCCTGCAGTGGTTTGCACTGTTGCCTCGCAGCAACAAAATCCTGGTTTTGAACCCCACGCAGGACCTTTCTGTGTGGAGGTGACATGTTCCTCTGTGGGAGTACCCAGAGAGTCCAGAGTCATGCCGTTAGTGGGGTTAGGTTAATTGTGTGTGTGAATGTGAGTGCGATTGTCCGTCTGTGTGTGTTAGCCCTGGACAGACTGGTGTCATAGCTTAAACAAAAATACAACATAAAAATAAAGAGGTGTTAGGAACCAGATGAGAACTGGGAATACAACTGGGTTGTACGCTTCTCTGTTCTTCCTCCAAACATAAGCAGCGTCTCTGTGGCCAAAGAGCTCTAGTTTCACCTCATCTGAACAAACGGACGAGCTTCCAGTCTGCGCTATCTTCTCTTAGTCTGCAGCCTCACAGTCCCTTCCTGTGCATCAGCTCAAAGCTTCCTGAGCTTTTATACTGTGTGTAAACTGAAGATAACCCTCAGGTGTAACTTGATTTTACAGCTTTGACCATCAGAGTTAGAGCACATCGTTACACAGCAGTGCTCTGTGCTGTGGCTCAGTGAAAAGGTTTGCACTGGTGCAAATAGAAGTGATGTGTGCTTTCTGTAAGAAGCTGGTTCCCCACTTGGAGAACGTTTTGAGAAAAACTTTAAATTTAATAGGGGGTTAAAAAAAAAGCGTGTCCTTGTTTTTATGTCGTGTGAAGTGAAAACAGGAAGCCAAAAGTTAGCTGTGCAAATGGAAATTATATAATCAGAAACATTTACCTCGGTCTGGACTTCCAGGTGGGGTAAAAGTCCTGAAACGTTGGACCTGCCGACGGAGCCAAACAAAACACATTACGAAAACACAACGATCCCCTCTGTGTTGTTTATTCTCAATTATATAATCAGAGACCTGTTATGATAAACCCGAACACTCGATACACACCTGCTACAATAAAGCTGCACCATACAAACGTTTACAAGAAGCTTTTCTTTCCTTTCAGTTGAACGTGTTTGAGTGCTACCTTCTTCACATTTTAATAGGGAGACAAATCTATTTAAAACAATTCTATGTTCTGTGTTTTGCACATCTACATTCAGTTAGCGTAGAGGAACCGTGTTGGCTCACAAGAACAGACAGATCATTAGAGAGCACTGATGGCTGTATCTTCACGCGGCATCTAAAAATACTCTAAAAACTCGAGTACTCGAGTAGGAGAAATTAGTTCAACTGCTGTCACCGTGACTGAGCACTCTCGCATTTTCATACTCTAACAGAAGTCTTTTCTTTTTGATGTGAGGTCTATAATCAGGGTCACGGTCAGGTGACTCCTCTCCGTCACTGCTTGAGGAATCAGTGGAGTAAAGAGCGTTCACATCGAAGGAAGAGTCTTCCTCCTCTTGCTTCCTCCTTTCCTCGCCGTCGCTGCCTTGCTCCACGGGCTCTTCCGGCCCGGCTGAGGCTTTCCTTCGGGTCGATAGGTGACACTGCTCAGAGCTCAGCCTGGTAAGACTCACGTAGGGTTGTAGCAGCTTGGAGTGCAGCAGCACACCCTGACTGGGCAGCGATAGCCTCAGCTGAGCTCTGAGGCCTCGGCTGGTTTTGTCCCTGCCTGCGGCAGAGGAGGAGCGTGAGGAGCGCCGGGCGGTTCCTGATCGAGGTCTGCTGTTCTTTTGTGGCTGACGATGGCGAAGAGAGCTCCGAGGGACGACTTTTTTAGATGACTTGGAAGATGGTGTGATTTGATTGGCAGCACAGGCGGAGAACAAACTCTCTGACTGAGCACCTTTCTGAGGAGGTCCAGAGACACTGATGTCACTGGCTGTGGCTGGAACACCCATCTGAGAGGTACTTGGGTCCTGAACAAGCTGCTGGGGGGTTTGAGCAAATGCCTCCAAATCCTCCTTGTGTCTGTTGGTACTGCAGACCCGTCTGAGCTTTCTCTGTTCAGTCGGGGTTTGACACCAGGCAGAGCGAGATGAACTGTTTTTGTCTTTTACGTTTCCTGAGGTGTGATGGTGTGGAGAACTTAGCATCTCCGAACTGGAAGAAGCTGCCAGAAGAAGCTGCTTTGGTGATGCTTGCTGGTGTTTACAGCTCGTCCCGAAGGAGCCGATGTTCACCAGTCGGACCACCGGTGACAGCAGAGCAGGCAGCGGAGAGCCCCGAGCAGACGAGGCCTGAGGCAGAATTTGTGCTTGTGAGGTGTCGCCTGAGGATCCGAGTGACCCGGAGCTGCGCCTGTATTTGGGTTTTGCTGTTCTGGATGCTTGGACTGCTGCCCGAGGAGGGCTGGGGGTCTGCGAAGGTGGCTGATCGGACGGACAGGGGATGAGGTCAGATGGTGTGAGGTCCTGCGATGAAGAAGTAGAAGACGACGACGGGAAGAGCAGGGGAGATGAGGAAACGTTCGGCTGAAGGAGAAGCTCCTCCGAGCATCCCCGCAGGATGCTCTTCACCCATCGCTGGTGTTTGGAGCAGAACTGAGGGGTGGGGGCCGCCTCCTGAACACTTGTGCTGCTTCCCTGACTGCCCTCTTCCTCCGCTCTCTTGTTCACCTCATCTTCCTCCTCTGGTTGCTGATGTCCTCTAACGTCTGAGCTCCTGTCCGAAAAACTGAAGCCGTCTTCGGACACGTCGCGAGGAGCCTCCTCTGGATGAACATCTGGATTAGTTTGGCTTAAAGCCGACTTAAAGAGTTGAGGCGACCGAGATATCGACGACTGACGACAGGAAGCAGCATCTAAAGAAAGAAAACAGCGACACGCTTGATACTGATAACAGTGGATATTCATAATTTCACACAAAGATCTAATCCTGCTTGTGTCCTAACAGTAAAAATATACAGTTTAAAAGGAGAAAATTACATAAATAAAAAGAAACAGCAGAAATGGTAAAAGCCACGACTCAAAGCTAAAGAAATCTACCCTAAAATAAAATAAAATATAAAGTTATTATCTTTTTATGATGTAAACTTGAGGTGAACTTTTCGTGTTGAGCTGTTTCTTACCGCAGTGCAGCAGCTTCTTCAGGGTCGCAGCTATGGTGGTGGAGTCAGAGCTTATCACCTCTAAAAGTAGCTTCTCCTCTTCAGTCACAGGGCTCTGTTTCTTCAGGATCTAGTGAAGCACAAGTGTTCAGTTATCACAGCGAGACATTCTCACTGCTGGCATTTCTGCTCGTCTTCATTTCCCTCATCAACAATCTTAAAGGAAACTTGTGGAGTTTTTGACCACATGAGGTCGCTGTAGAGCCAACGGGACAGTTTATCTACATTCAAACTCTCATTTTTACAAACGCATCTTTAAACCCTGCACACACACACACACACACACACACACACACCTTATCAATGTAGGTATCTCCTTGTAACACAGCATCCAGCTCATGGAGATAATGCAGCAGCCTGTCCTCGACTTTCTGGGCATACCGTTCCCCATACTGCTCGTCCATGTCATTCTGCAAGACAGACAAAAGGCATCATCCCATGAAATTCAGCATAATAAGTGCAAAAGTCTTGAGCCACACTCCGTTTCTACGTCCAGATGGGCAGAATCAACTTTTTGGGATTTCTTTACCTGGATGACTGAGCATGCAATCATGAAAGACGTGTTTGGGAATCACTTTGTTGGTGCAAAAATATGATTTTATGTCTGTCAAACTGCTTGAATGATTCAAGCTAAGGGTAAAAAAAAAACATTCCTCTGGAAGTGGTGCGAGGACTGAGAACGAGCAGCCAATGTCCAAAGTTCTAGCACATTACTGTTCCTCCACGCTTGATCACTTTTTCAGGTTGGCAGCCCTACGACTCTGCAGCTCACGGAAAGATTTTGTACATCGTAGCTCTGCAGCGCACCCTGCTGGCCACAGTTAGGACCGCTTCATTTTTGGCCCAGCTGGGATGAGTTTTTCTCTACTAAGAAATCTAGTTGTACAAATACATGCAGGGTTGCCTTTATGATAATTCCAAACATTCGAGGTTTGATCAAACCCGACTGATTATTGTGAACAGCACTGTGTCTCAAAGCATAACTTTGGGGAAACTGCAATGCCTTTATCCAACAAATCCCAAACTGTATGATTTAGAAATGTGCTGAATGTGCATGAATCACGTAGGCCATGAATATATTGGGACTGAAATGTATATAGAATATTCTGGATCTGTCTCATAATCACTTACAGGAGATTTACCTTAATGTAATGTTCAAGTTTGTCTTTGTCCATAGCAAGTGTTTGCGCCAGAGTCCTAAAGTCCAGGTGGTTCTTCCTCATGAGGAACATTTCTCGTTGGCTCTGTGCAAAAAACACCAGAACACATAGAATCACCTGTTGATATAAGTAAAGTTTTTCATGCAGGCAACTGTAACTGTTCCCAAAAGCCAATTCCAGGTATGCTATCACATTTTTCAATATGCAACAACACAAAATGTTATGAACGATTTACTTTATTCACAGAATAAAAGTGCCTCGCTCGAGAAAGAGGACTGAAGGAGAAAGAACGGGTGAGGTCACAGCGATGAAGTACATCTATTATATACAGTCTATGACAGCACACCACCAGTGTGCCATCTGTGAGGAGGCAAAAACTAACAAATAGTTCGATTCAGTTTTATTTATATAGCGCCAAATCGCAACAGCAGTCGCCTCACAACACTTTATGTTGTCAGGACAACATACAGAGAAAGCTCCATCAGTCAAACAACCCAGTATGAGCACTTGGCGACAGTGGGAAGGAAAACTCCAGCAGAGCCAGCCTCACAGACTGAGGGAGGGGCGGCCATCTGAGCAACCGGTTGGGGGGTGAGTGGAGGGAGGCAGGAAAACCCCCCCACAAACTATGGAAGACATCCAGAGCTTGATGCTTCCTGTCTGGTGTCTGAACTTTTCCTTTACCTTTCTTGAATATTTATTATAAAAATGTATCATTTATATTCTTAATCCTGCTGTAACACAATCATTTTCTATGTGGGATCAAAAAGTATCCATCCATCTATCTTTCTTCCTGATGTCTAAGGGGTTCATTTAAAGGAAACAATCGATGCAACATGTATGAGACATTTATGAGAGCTCAATCAGCCACAATAATAAAATCATTGACAGGTGAGGTGAACAACAGCCATCACTGTGTTCCAGTGCTGAGTTCTGCTGGGAAACCTCGGTCTCGACATGTTTTACCACCCAACCAAACACCGCGGCGGACAAAACACACTCCAACGGACAACAACACTGCTCAAAGGTAGCAGCCTCCCTCAGCAGGACAAGACAGCAGCAGCACACACAAGCTCATGAACATAACAAAGCCTCCGACTGGACGTGCCAGGACAAGTCCGATCCTGTAACCCACTCAGACCCAACAGGACACCCCCGGAGGCTTTGTGCCCCAGTGGTTCGGAGCTGTTCGGTGAGTTATGCATAATATAAGGCAGGTACTTTTAACTCAGTTTTGGTCTCCACCAGTTCAACAGTGGCTTCCAGTTAGTTCCGGTGCAGGGCAGGTCACTTACACACTGGTCTTGGTACTCGGGGAGTTTGCTCGGGAAGAACTGGCCAATTTTTGACACGGTGTCAACCATTCCCCGGCCCTCTTTGAGCATCCACATAATGACCTGGAAGGAACCACCAGGAGGTGAACGTTCACGAAGAAACAACCCCATTTGACATTCCTGTACATGCTTACTGGACCACTACTTATTTCCCTACCATGGTCTTGAGGCCAAACATGATCTTCATGTGTTTGATGGCAGGAATCAGTCTGGGTAGAAGTCGGTACGTGGTTTCCAGAAACCCTATCACCCTCTCAAAGTGCTCCAGGTCCCTGCTCTTTATGATGGAATAGACCTGAGCAGAGACGACGCGCAGCCTCCACGAGTCTTCCAGACTCAGAGGTTGGGAGTCCACATCTGGCCAGCTGGACAGGTCCAAAACTGTGAGCACACAAAATGAAGCCAGCATGTCACAAGCAAACGCAAAGGCATGAATACTTTTGTTTCTAAGACTTTCTTTATCTCTGCCGTTTGAGATTAGCTTTGCAAGTTTCATGTATATGTTTCTTCTACATCAGTATAAAAAACACTCAGACAAAGGAGTTCAATAAAGTTTTTGTTGTGTTAAAACTTTTTATTAAAATCCCCAGAACCAACCTTGTTGTATATCCATCATCTTGTGAGTCCAGACATGCTCTATGATCCACACAGGCAGCTTAGAGAAGCTCTGCATGCGTCCAGCCCGCAGCTCCCCTCCGTCCATGGCTCAGCTCCGCGGGCTGTGTGGAGGGAGACGGAGGAGAGCATCAGCCCGCTGCACCTCCTTAAACCCCCGAACCACCACAGCTGGACATGTACCGGCAAGTTGAGGATGTCACGCATCTGAACATCCCCGGCTTTTTTTTAAAAAAAAAATGTTGCAAATAACTTCCTTTGCATGCCTTTATTTAGCATTTCAAAATAAAAGCTTAGGAAGCAAGAAACCCCGTCTCTCTCTGTAACACCAAGTGTGTCAAATTTGCTTCATGTTTGAGTTTTTCAGACTTCGTCATCGGTGTTATTTTTTCCCTCCTCGAAAAACTAATAGATTGCACAAAGATTCAGCAAACATGATACCAGGTAACCTTTTAAAACCTGAACCATAAAATAACAGCCAGAAATCTTTCGTTTTTTGATAATGGAGTGTTTGTTGAACCTTTAGACTAATATATCTAAAAATATATCACATTTTAATCTGCATATATGTGTTTTAATTTGTATCACATTTGCTACATTAGCCATATGTTTGCAATTTAGGAATTAAAAATGTGTCATGCAATTTATATCATTTTTTGAGGGTAAAAAAAGTCACGCTGATGATGTAGAAGTCTCAAAAACTCACAAAAACACATGTATCAAATACGATATGCTTGGCTTTAAAGGGTTAAAACTCAACTACAAGTTTTTTAAATTGTGAGAAGATTCAATTCAACTCGATTCTAAAATAAAAAGTATCATTATTATTTGTCAACTATTTAATGGTTCAGGCTTTAAAGGCCTAACAGACATTTACCAGTTTGAGATGAATCTGCTGTAAAGTTGAACACAGTACAATATGAAATAAAAAGGAGAAATAAATGTTAAAGCAGTATATGGATATATAGAGATATAAACTGATGAATATTATGGTGTTCCCATCTTTCTTCAATAAGTTTATACGTTATTAAATTTGAACTAACTAGTTAACTGTATAAAAATTGCTCAAAATCAGTCATCAAGATTTAATTTCCTATGATAATTAATATCTATGCAGCCAATAAATGTGTCTATTGATTCTATTTGTTTGTTTTTATTACAAAACATGTTTACGTGATGCAATCATCTGATCCGAGCCACGGTCTGAGTAACTCACTCACACATGCACTGTATACTTAGATCAAGTCCTTTGCACTACTTTTGAGCACTTTGTTCTCCCATGTGTGCCTTTTCTATTGGCCATAATTGGCCCATATTTCGTTGTACATGCACAATGACAAAAAAGGGCTGCACATGGACTTTTATTGTGAAAGCGTGGTTGACCAGGAAGAACTTTACCGGAGCCGTGAATGTCTCTGCCCTGACTTCACCCTCCAAACTATGCGGTCTTGTCTAATCCACAGCGGAGCTCAGACGGTTCTATGAGGTAACGGGAAGCTGCAAGGCTTCGTTTTTGTTGCGCTCAGTCAGTGCTGACAGTTATCTGACTTTTTATTTTTATTCATTGTTACATCAACATGCTAACGACCTAGCTTCAACAGCTCACGGTCGCTCTTGAACTGGCGCGCATGTTTCGTTGCACCTGGACAAACCGCTAGGTGGTGTCTGACTTAACGCTAAACAGGTGTTTCTCTAATTGATGTGTGCTGAGGGTAATATTAAAGAGCGTGATGTAAGAAATCACGCGGCGATATAAACAAGTTCAAGGGTGGCTGGTAATGCTAGCAGCAGTTTGTAGCTCTTGGGTATAAGCTTATATTTCAATGACAGAGCTAACCATCGAGCTCTCTGCATCAAACGGCGATGCTTGAAAATATAGAAAGCCATAAGACTTACCGGACGTGTTAGTTGTAGTCATTAAAATAAAAAGGGTGTCCACTAAACACTTAAAAATATTTTTTAAAAATTCCAAGTTGCGGCCCTCTCGTGTTAGCCGGTGTCCGCCATCTTTGTTTTGGTTCGGAAACACAGGTGCGACTTGGGAAATTGAGTTTTGCTGTATGGTTTGAAGATGGTGGCACTAGCAAAAACAGGCATGGGGATGCTAGAGATGCGGTGGCAGATGTGATGATCTGTGGTGACCTCTTAAAAGAAGAATGAGCAGTATTTTAAACCTTCTTACTGATGGAAGTCAACAAAGTGTCAAAAGATGTCTTTGCTTTCTCTGACCGACCTAAATGGCCTCCTTTTGTCTCTTTGTCTCAGTCCCACCATGAACACGTCCTCAGTGTCTCTGCTCCAGCTCTCCTGGACCGGGCTCAGACTGTATGCATCTAAAGGCCATCGCTCCGGAGCCCTGAGCCTGATGGCAGCAGCTTCCACCCGTCTTCCACACACCTCACCCTGTAGACGCTCCTTATCCAGCAACGTCAAAGTGCGCTCCTACCTGCAGTACGTCAAACGCAAGATCATATCCCCCCCCAGTCCTCCGTACAGCCATGTGTGTCAGGTAGGAGACCCGGTGCTGCGTTCACATGCAGCTGCTGTGGACCCTTCAGCTGTAACAGGACCTGAGATCCAGCGTGTCATTAAAACTATGGTGGCAGTAATGAGGAAGCTTGAGTGCGTGGGACTGAGTGCGCCTCAAATTGGCGTGCCACTCCGGATCCTGGCTCTGGAATATCCCCAAAAAATGTTTGAAGAGAGCGCGCCTGCCACGAGGGAGGTCCGCGGTCTCTCCGTCCAGCCCCTAAGGATCTTTGTGAACCCACAGCTGAGGGTGCTGGATGGTCGGACGGTGCTGTTTCAGGAGGCCTGTGAGAGCATCTCGGGCTTCTCTGCCACGGTTCCCCGCTACCTGTCTGTGGAAGTGTCTGGTACGCATGCTTAAAGCTCAACAGTGACACGTCTCATTTAAGAGTGTCCACATTTGTAAGGTGTGCCTTTGTCTCGGGCTTCTGTCTTCTCACCCTGCAGGTCTCAATGAAAATGGCGAAGCTGTAACGTGGCAGGCTAGTGGCTGGTCGGCCCGGATCGTCCAGCACGAGATGGACCACCTGGACGGCATCCTCTACGTCGACCGCATGGACACAAAGACCTTCATTAATATCAACTGGCAGGCACACAACGAATAGAGTGAACACCTGCTCAGGGCAGACTGGCTAACTGGCGATGCACATGTGAACGTGTCTTCTGGTTTCTGTGGACCACAGATCTGTACTTTGACAATAAATGCTGAAAGGATGCAGAATGGATCTTTAAATGTTGTTGCCTTCCATCATAGTGAAGAAAGGATACGATTGGGCAGGACTCAGTTAAAAGGCTCCAACAGCTGGAACACCAAAACACTGATGTGGGCTAAAATATTGCTACCTTATAAAGCGTGGAAACTGCTTTTCAACACATAAGCAATTATTTGTGTCATTAAAATGTTAATTATAGAAGTTATGAAAGCTGGTTTTTTGTCTACAGGATACCTGAGGGCTGTGGTACGAAGCAAGATGAATGATTTAGCCAGCTTCGTCAAGCTTAAAGAGTTTTCTGTGTCACAAACTTCTAAACCACCGTGGTAATGATGAACACATAACCTGAATTTCAGTTTAAAATGAACTGAATTTGAATTAAAATGTGCAAAAATCACCAACTTTCAACAGTTTAGCATTTTACTGTTATATTTTTATTTTCTGACAACATCCCTGTTTGGAGTAGGGCAGCGGTCTCCAACCTTTTTTGCGCCACGGACCGGTTTATGCCCGACAATATTTTCACGGACCGGCCTTTAAGGTGTTGCGGATAAATACAAGAAATAAAACTAGTACCGGTACCGAAAAAAAGATTCATAACACACGTGAAAAGACCCAGGAAAACAGAGCTAACGATGACAAAATAACGCTGAAAACCGATAAAAACCCTGAAAACTATACATTTCACACCTGAGCCTCAACTGTCGCGGCCCGGTACCAAACGACTCACGTACCGGTCCGAGGCCCGGGGGTTGGGGACCGCTGGAGTAGGGGACACTCACAAGGATCATTATGTGGAGGGAGGAGTCACATGACCCCACAAACTGCCCCTTATTATGTGAGCACGCATCAAACCCGAAACAAAAAGGCTAGCTTAGCAAAGTGGCTAACTATTGTGTTTTTCCTTCATATCTCAAACTGAGGTTTCAGGTTTTGTTGAGCCAGCTAAGGCAAAGAAAGCCTGACTGTGTTCAACTTCATTCTCAGGCATTTAAAAATTTTAAAGTAAATGTGGGTAAATGCCAGAAGTTCCTCTAATGGCCACTGGGGGCCGGTTCCAAAAACGAGTCGATCCATGATGTCATCTGCTGTTAAAGCAGCGGCACCAATGTGAGAGCACTGTAACATCATGACATCAACACCACTGGACAATCCTGGCTGCTGTAGATGAGTTAGCAAAATATAATATCAGAAAAAATGATCCTAAAAAACATTACAACTATATCTATAGTTTAAGTGTGCTGTGAAGACATTTGGGAGTGCTTGAGCACCTGAAAAAGGACGAAGCAGCACCAAGCTCTGGCTACTGTGATCTTTGTCCAAATATGAACATTTTTGGTTCCAAAAAACCCCAATAACAAATAGATATAATATCACTTTGAACCACGAGATGATGCAAAGTCCAATCTGCCCTCAGTCATCATGAGATATTCTAACATTAGTAACTATGTGCTAACGCAGCATCTGTCACAGTACAACAGCAGGAATGGTTATAAAAAACAGACTCGGATTAGTTACAAGACGTCTTTAAAGACAGCAACACAAATTCATTTCAAACAGAAGTAAACATAACGCTCAGTGAATTACTGCAGGAAAAGTTTCTGGTAGAAGGCTGACCGGGTGGTTACAAAAGGTTTTTACAGAAAGAAGTGTTATCCTTTTGTTTTTGCACCGTGTATGAATATCACACAGACGCGTCGGCGCTGCTGTGCCGTGCAGCTACATTTCTGGGAAGGGTGCATGTCAGGCTACATTGCAGCATTAGCAGAGTACAATGCAGTTTGACAAATCATTTGGTGTAAACAAATGTTTGTCCTAAACGTGGAAAGACTCCCTTAAAGTGTTCCTGAGATGTTGCATTAAGGCGACAGTGGAAAAGCTAGGAAAACAAAGCTTCCAGCTGCCACTGACATTTCAGAAAATGTGCTTTAGACAACAGTGAAGTCACCTTAAAGGCAAAAACAAGCAGATTTCAGCACTCGGCCAAATGATTACTCGAGAAAATAATTTCATAGTTACAACAAATGTTAGTTTCAGCTGTTTTTACCTTTCACAGCAAATTACAACAAAAGAAAAGAAAAAAAAGAGGAAAGCCACATAACCTGCCAAAAAGCAATATTTGAAAACTTCTCTAATACAGAAAAATGAAGGTTCTTAGTGTTAGTTATGAAGCAATTACATTTTAAATGCTGTGACTGATTTTATATTAAATCATACCCACCACACCACGGTGATCACGCCAATTCATCCCATGTTACACACGTTTACCACACATACACTTTAATGGCACATTGACCCTTTTACTGCAGTCTGCTGCAGGACACAAACATAAAACACTTGCTTTTGCGTCATGAGTTACCGCAAAGCGACCTGCGAGCGCAAAACCACACCACACAGAGGCTGTTACATGCAAATATCAAATAAATGGCACAATGGCAGAACTTCAAGGCAGCGTTTTCAGTTCCAGTACGCAGATTTAAGTCACTGTAACTTTTGCTAAATGCATCTCGTAAGTGCAAAGCTTTTCAGACCTTTATCACACAGATGTTGACTGGTCAAATGTTTGGCCGCAGCTGCATGCAAGCGGATTTCTGAACCAACAGCCACTACAATATTCGTTTCCACAGTATCTGCACAGGACCAGAGGCTTTCTGGAGCACCACTTTTTACAGGAGGAGCACTTTCCCAGCTGTGTGCTGCGATGGAGTGACAGGCAGGATTTCGCCATGTTGCAGGATTTCAAGTGGAAGACTCTGCACTTGTGGCACAGGATCTGAGGGTCTGGATTGTTGAGATCGCAGCATTCGTGGTAGGCGATGGCAGGAGGGAGTGCAATTATTGATGCGGGGTCTTCACTCAGAGGTAAGGAGCTCACTGCTGCACTGCTGCCAGTGAGAGTGGGTGATCTGAGGCCTCCACTCTGCATTTTCTTCACTTGTTTCACGTTGTGGAGATTCTTTCTGCAAATCTTAAGGACTGCACAGGTCTCATCGTGCAGGGTTTTGCATTCAGAGCAGTAAGAACAAGAATCTGAGTTCTGGACGCACCTGCAGAGGTTGTGGTCGCCATCCTCGCTCTTCAGAGCCTCGATTGGATCTACCTGCAGACTTTGAGGCTCAGAGTTTGTTTCACCCAGCCTCGTAGCACCAGGGGTACGCCAGCTTGGCCTCTTGCTGTCCGCGGAGTTTCTGCCGGTGAGCGGCTCTCGCAGTGGGAATGATGCTGTTGTTCCGTTGCTGTGTGTTTTGACAGTGGTGGGTGATACGTTGTCCGCTGTCGTCCAGATGAATGAGCAGGGACTCTCTTCCTTGTTGACAACCATCTGCGGGTCCCCTTCATTAACCGGATCGGTGTACAGATCCACGTCTCCATCGGGCTGCTCCATTAGGGCCTCGCCAACCTCCAGCATCTTCTTGGTGTTCTCCACAGCAACCTGTAGGGAGATATAAGTAATAAAGTAAATTAAGGCATTTCATATCCTACTGTTGCATTTATTAGCAGGAAGAAAGAAATCATACAATTGACACTTTTCTTTGCTAAACATTTTGCCTCACAGTACACCCTCCTGGACCAAACATAGTACGACAAAGCAAGATTAGTGGGTTAGTGAGGAACGTTTTCTAAGATTTTAAAGGGTGGAAGTTAAAAACAGCTTGCTTGAGGCAGACAATGAAGCGATTGGCTGCACCAAGGCTGAAAGAAAACAAAACAAAAGATCTCAGCATCAGCGTCACATACCTGCAGGCCGTTTCCTCGCTGCCTCTCCATCACTGCGCTCAGCTCCCACTGGGTGTCACCGCAGTGCTTCCCCAGCGCTGTTGTAAGAAAGTGGCACTCGCAGCGGGCCAGGAAGAAGGCACAAGACAAACAAAGGAGGGTATCCGAAGAAGTGGAGTTCACTCTGTGCGTCTGGAGATGGAGCTGCTCAGATGATGACGCACTGAGCTCGTAGCCCAACAGGTTGAACAGGTTCTCGATCTGAGCCGTCGACAGCACCGGGGTGATGTAGTGCGTGAACGTGCCGGAGTACATCTGGGACACAAAATGTGAAACTTTAAAATCACATTTGATTATTTTAACTGAACACATGAACTTTTTTCTCCTTCTGGCCCACCTGGATTACAGTGTACTCCTTCCTCCAGGGACCCAGGTACAGGTTCAAGGCTGCTTGCTCCAGCACCTCAAAGGCTTTGGCCAGGCCTTGCAGGCCTCCTCTGGTTCCAACTTGTCTGCTCCATCCTGCTGCTGTGACTGCCTTGAGCGACTCCTCCATCACCCTCAGTGGATCCACACCCAGGCAGTGGATCTCCTGAGCATTTCCCTCCTTCATAAGTCCCTCCACCTTTCTCCACAGCTCCTCATCTCTGCACGGCAGGCTCGAGCCCTGTTCCACGATTTGGCGCTCCAAACTGCGATCGTAGGCGGCCGTGAGATCTACGTCTCTCTTCCGGGAGAAGCTCATCTCTTTCATCCATTTATAAGAGAGAGAGACAAAAATAAACCAAGATGATCCTAATAACTGAGTCACACCTTTTTTTTTCTTATTGCTGTGCATCAACCTAACAGTGCCCACTGGCAACGGATGTCACTGAGGGAGTGTCCTATGAATTGAATTCCACCTCATTTCACTCCAATGGGATTGACTATATTTCTCTGTTCTGTTAGTAACTATTCAATAAAGAGTTACAGTGTGACTAAAGTTAAAAACACACACACACACACACACACACACACACACACACACACACACACACACACACACACACACACACACGTGTTTTCCAGGCTCCTGCTATGTCTGCAGCACATGCTGACGTAACTGTGGCCACTGGAAATATAAAACATTTCGACCTTTAGCCTCATTAAATAGCACACTCTGTATCAGCTGCGACTCGCTTTGAGCACATGTTAATAACGAAAGTGAAACTTTGCCATAAGTGAAAATAAGTTGACTCACTTTGTTTTTTTTACATCTACCAAACTTTAACGTGTTTTCAGGGAACATCTGGGAACTTCAAGCTCATCAACGAGAAAAACGAGAACCTTTTTTTTTTTAACAGCCCCACTTAGCATTAGCTTAGCCGCGTCTACTACGTTAGTTACCCAAGAGAACTTACGGGTCGGACAGTGAACGCACCCCCCGCCCGCACATTGTAAACCGGCTTGTTTTCCTTACTTTACCCAGTTTGCGGTGAAGTGGCGCAGGGAAGCTTGGTACCGAGCTGTTCTTCAGTTCGGCCGACATATAATCCGTCGACGAAAGCGAAATCAACTTTTATCAACCTTCCAGTGTGATGTCAGGCTCAGTCTGTGTGGGAAAATACCCAGGAAGTGCGAGGAAGCGGCTGAACCTCCCCAAGGAAGATGTACATTTTTCATATTAAGAAGACATCTATGTCGTTTTGAAAACACGCCGAATTACACGTACGCTCCCGATAAACTTGTAAACGTAACGATTTAAGTTTTAAAATGTGTGTTTTTAAGCCAAAGCGCGAGGCAATAGAAAACCGGTATAATTTGTAGGAAAACTCGGACTGAGAGAACATGAAGGTATGTTCGTAGGTATGCGAAGCTAACGTAACGCAGCGGGCTACAGGTGGGCGAGTCTGGCTTTGTTCGATATAAAACGTGTCTGACACACAGACTCACCTGTTCCTGGCACGTAATCAGCTGTTTTGGCGAGTCCGGCCACACGACAATCTGCTCGATTATCTGGGTAACGTAAACATTGTCACGTGGCACGGGATTTCCAGTTTATACAGGGTGTGTTTGGCAGTTGTTCCTGGATGTGCCGTTAGGTGGGTGGAAACAATGGAACAATTGCTTTAAATTAAAAGAAAAGTGATGTAAAAACGGGCTGAAATACAGAAAAGGTGGAAACAGGAAGAAGCTGCAAAGTGTGCTACCGAATAAATCGATTAAATCAACAGTTTTCTTGCGTGTAGTTTCAGCCACTAGATGGCAGCATTTCACCTGCTGCGGCAGCCTCACCTCTGCATGAACCACTGACACGGCACACGCAGACACACAAACACACGTCTTCCTGTCTTTGTGAGGACGTTTACTGACATGATCACAGGTGAGCAGCTAGTTTAAACTCTTTAGCAGAGTTTTTCTGGTGCGATGGGAACATATCCATACATTATACAAATAAACTGTAAAAGTATTTGTTCTGTGGTTGTTTTTAGGGCGGATTTAATGTGTTTCTGTTTATATCTAGTTCTGAGCAATAGATTTGTGAGAAAAGTATAAATGTATTGCACTAACGAAATATAATTCCTGATAATATACCACAAGTTCATTACCCAAAGTGACAAGAGGTCACAGAATGTCCCAATCAAGGCTGTAAATTCTCTGTCAAAATCTTGTAACACTTTCGGGGTTTTGTTTGTTTTGAGCCCATTTGATGCAGAGTTCAGATTAACATAGACTGTATATAACAGATGGATGTAACCATAATCTCTGGTTTACAGAAACCTTTTAGTGAAGCCTTGAGATGAATGTTTTTGCTGCTCCCATCTTAGTTTGCCACAATCTGACATCACACACGGGGCAGACCTGACTGCACACTCATAAAGCGGTGTACTTATGAATGAACAGCCAGGCCCATAATGGAGCACATGCTGCTTTACCACCTTTCTAGATCATTGTGTGCAATATTATGTTGAACTCAGTAGTAACTTAAACTGGTCATCGAGCCAATAAACTGACTGCCTGAATTAATGGTCACAGATCTGAATTTATCCTCACCCCTGAAAGGTGCCCTCACGCTCAGTACATGTTCCCACTTCCCACATTTAAATCTCTCCACCGGTCCTTTCAAATTTAGCCGTGCCGGGATACACATACACACGGAGACAGAGTATGGGCGTGGCTTCAGTGACCCCGTAGACAAGGGCGGACCCGTGATCCTTTAAAGCATCCCGGTCCGGCCAGGATGCTCTGCACAAGCCAGCAGCTTCACTTCGCATCGACAGAGTCATCCTCCACCCTCCATCCTCCAGCAGGTCTGTGCAGCTACAGTCGGCATGTCGAACTCGGACAGGGTTGTGTTAGCTCTCGGAGGAGCGGGAAAAGTGGGCTCCGGGATCGTTAAAGGACTGCTGGATAAAGGTAAGCTTCTCTGTAGCTCGAAGGACATTTGGCAGGGAAAATAAACTGAGTGAAATAGAGGAGGACAAATCTTTGGGACATCTATGCGTTTTTACGCGCAGGTGTCTTTCCCCTGGGCTTTTACGCGTGAGGAACTCCATCATTATAAACCGCACTGTAAACACTTTATGGGGATTTTTGTGCGGTATGGCCACTTTTAATAAATACAGTTATTACTTATTTATACTTTATACTTATTATTGTTTTATTGTGTCTGAATTGTTAGACAATTAAATAATGACTCGCCATAAGTCATCCGCCCGCGTGCGTAAAACACTGTATTGGGCTTTCTATGCCACGCTCTACACCGACAGGTCCGCTTATCACATTTTTATGAGGGTAAAAATAAATTTGAGCGCGCAATGTGACAACTGATCGACCAAAAATCCCCTTCCACTCTCATAAAACTAAACTGCAACACAAATGATCTATAGTTGATAATAAAATGTTGGATTAATAATCATAGACGTGTCAAAAACAACAGGCTGTTCAGCCTACTGTACAGGCTCCTTTAATCTTCCTTTAATCAAGACTTAGGGGGAGTTACCAAAATGACACAATGGAGTTCTCATAATAATGCTTCATTGTCAATAAAAGCATGTCCCATCAGGAAATCTTTGGAACAGTAAAGACAGAATAAGCATTCTCAGGCAGTTGTGTGTGTCATTGTACAGTTTGGCTTTGTCATATCTGGGATTGCTGTGTGGGTGGTTTTATCAGCACAGTCTCATAAAATCATATCTAAATTGATCTGAACTCCTATCATCATCATCTTAAACTAAATTACAGTTTATGGCGAGAGTTAAAAGAGCATAATTTCAGTTCAGCTTCATCCCTGTTTGGATTCTGTTGTGTTCTTAAAGCTGAAATCTGTTGTGGGCATTTACCGTTCTGTGCCTCCAGGAAGGAAGAAGCTGAGATGAGAGTTTATTGGTTGCATGCTCACAGCTTCTTTGTTTGAACTGAGCAGTAAGTTACTGTCGACATCCCGGTCAGATTTCACTTTCTGATGACCTTGACAGAAGCAGCACAACAACACAGGTTCACTCCATCCTACTGTCTCTGTATTAAAGGTCTCTGTGTGTTTGTGTGTCAAGGTTTTAAAGTTGCAGTGATCTCCAGGGACAGCAGCCGCCTGGAGAAACTCCGATCGTTTGTCTCTCCCAACACAAAGGATAACCTCACCACTATAGTGGGAAATGTGGGTAAGTCAGGTTACTTATCCTGCCCGTCTCTGCTCTGAGGATTGTTTGCGCTTGTCCACAGCCCTTATCGCATAATTACTGATTCCCCCCCGGCAAACACTTTAAATACAAATCCAAACTGTGCAAAAGAGAGCCTGCAAAGTATGGGAGTGGCAACATACTGCACCAGAGCTGCACTAAATCTGTAGAAACCCTCACATGTAGTGCAGCAGTGAACTTAATGTTGCAGGGAAACCGTTCTCAGGTGGATACAAGCACCATAACTGGCTCATTTACTCTTTTATCAGAAAGCCGGTTAGAGATCTGAAAATGAAGGACTGATTTTCTGTTTTGGTTGTTTTTATTTCCAAGATGGTCACCAACTCTGATGAGAAAATCTCATTTTACCATCATTCTTAGTATCAGGTTGTTTGTGTGTATGAGCTATCTTTAGAAAATACTCAAAAACCTCTTTGCGCCATTTTTTAACAGTGAGCTCAGGAATAAGGGTGTAGAGGCAGTACTTATGTTTCAGCCACATCACCTGAATGAACTCCAGGCACTCCTCCTGGCACTCCTCATTACTAACTTTCTGTGGGGCCATAGGTGAGAGTTAGAGCTGATCATCTACTCATCAGAAGGTGGGTGGTTCAATCCTGGCTTTTCCAGTCTGCATGTTCAGCTTGGACTAAAGCCCAGATTGCCAAATTGGCACGTTCCACTGTTTGCTCAGTAATGGAGGGCAGACAGCGTCTTGTGCAAGTTCACACTCCGCAAGTTAGAGTTTGGTTCATGCAGGTTAAAGCGAAGCTGCATGAACCGAATTCATCATTTAGAAGTCTGAACTTTACAGGTAAAAAAGCAAAGCTTCAGGAACATTCACCATAGTTGTTCATGTGCACTCTCTGGTAATGAGTTCTTGTTATCATCACACACTCTCAGGTCAGGTATTTCCTATGACTCCAGTGTGACCCTTCAAATTTGTGCCAAGTGGAGCTGATGTTGTAAATTCTTATTTCAGACTCGGGTCGTCCAGCTTGCAAGTAAATGTAAAAGAGTCTGCACTCGTTCACTCACACAGTCTCCAACTGCTCATAGAGCAGTAATGGTGCAAAGCCTGTGAGCTAGTTCAGGCAGGCAACCTCAGGCACACCAACACGCCTGCCTCTCCTCACGTCCAACACCAAACACACCCTCTCTGTTTGGCGGCCAATTTAAGCTGCAGAATTTTCCATCTGAGCCTCTGACATGTCAGTGCTGCCCTGCATCACCGCCTGCTGGTTCGTCCCCTCGTATTTGTACTGAATAATCAGCTTAGAGACATGACACCAAACTCTAACTAGAACATTTCAAACTGCTGTAATTGCACAGTGGTAGTGAGAGGGGGGGATTAAACCCAACCGACCTCCTGTCTCAGAAGTCTGTGGGCTTGTATTCAAGTACAAATCCTCCACCGTACAATGTGATAAAGTTCCCATTTCTTCGGTCATCATTTGTCTGCATCTTAGCGACTGTCTCAGAAATGATTTACTGACCTGATAACTGCTTGTTTGGGTTTAGCAAAAGACTGCACCTTGGGGTAACGAACATCAGCGACGTCCACCTCTGCCGTAACCTATCAAGTGTGCGTCCTGTGCAAAAAGGAACGTTAATGGTGATTTGTTATTTTCAGATTTAGTCAAATTATTGTTTTCAGCTGCTGATTTATTAGGTGGAGGTGCAAAAAAAAATCCTGTATTTTTTCCAGTATGGAAAGGGCTTACACCCCATAAACACACCAAACATTATTAAGAAAACTTCAGTGATAGTTGAGATGACATCACAGCAGCAGGTGAGGAAGGTGTTTATCTTCTACTGCGATGTTTTGTTATTCCCCAGTAGGGCTGAAGTTCTATATCGATGCCGATCTCAGTGATTCATTAGAGAAAACAAGTTTGCCTGTCCTCTCCTGAAGTCCAGCGTCTCTGTGTTCAGGCTCAGAGGAGGAAGCCGAGCAGGCGAAGCAGGCCCTGCTGAAGGAGGTGGGGAAAGTCACCGACATAGTTTCCTCTCTGGGCTTCAGCTGGTGGCAGGGAGGACCCCCACACACCCAGTCCCTGAAAGATCTACACTGGGTCAGTACACACACACTTTCCAATATACTTATTTAATTTCTTCTCCCTCACTTTAAACTCATGCAGCATGTAAACACTTGCAGGAGTCATTGGGGTGCTGTGATGTTTTCTTTCCTGTGAAATCTGCAGGTAATTGAGACGTTGCTTTTCAGCACATTTGTGTCATGGAAGGCCTTCTA